CCCCAAAACCCCAAAACCCCAAAACCCCAAAACCCCGATTTGAGAAGACATGTTGACAAAATACTTTTTAGACTTTTATTCTTTATGATCCAGCAGCTTCATCAGTCTCTTCTTGGTTGGGTCCGTCATCATCCTGTTTGAGAGGGATAGTTGTGAACTTCTCCTCTTGCTCATCATAAAGGTGACAGTAGTTTACACCAAAAATAATGCTAGTCTTATTAGCTGCATCCCTTTTAGTGAGCCCAGAAGAAGTGAAGGTATCTGGTTTTTCAAGATTTCCCAGAGGCTCGATGTTAAAGCCATGTAGCTCGTTATACCAAACGTAAGCAGACTTGGCAAGAGGCTCTTTGTTCCAGCCACCGAAGATAATAAAATGTCTGTCTCCCATACAAATAGCGCCTGAGCTTGAGCACTTGAAGGGCACCTTGATCTTTAAAGTCTCCCATTCACAATTAGGTTGATCATATTGAAGCCATTCGATACTTTTTAGTGGAAGAAACATGGAAGGATCGTCTGGACTACTCTCGATTCCTCCAATACAATAAGCATTAGAGTTAGTGCATATGATCAAGGAGGCAGTCATTCTGGGGAGGTTCAGGGGTGGAAGCTTTTGCCATCTCATCTGGCTAATATTGAACATTTCGCACGAGTTTGTAGGCGTATTTTGCCCAAGAGAGCCTCCTGCAGTGAGAATAAAATTGCAGTCTGGTGAAAGTCCTGCTGCAACAGAGAGTTTAGGCTCACTCATTCTTTGGCATGGCATCAGAGATCTATTCTCGAGATCAACTTCATAGGTGTCATTGATGGCTTGAATACCTTCAACATCTTTGGAACCTCCAATGATAAACACTCTATTGAGTGTCTCTGTTGGTACTGTGATGACTTTTGTGAGATAATTCTTTAAGGTTAGGACCTTCTGCTCTTGATAGTAATCTTCATCCAATTCCTTAACCTTGAGTATGTTATCTGTCACGAAGTAATAGGAGTTCATCTCTTCAGAGTGGTAAACCGCCTGGGTGGGTTCTATCTGCATCTTGGTTACCTCCCTGCTCCTATCTGCAATCAGGTCATCTTGCTTATCTCTGTTTGTGACATTTATAACAGAGTTTGTTGTAAATTCCGGGAAAACTGGATTCTTTTCATCAACCATCATAAGATCTGAAGTAAGCTGACTAAAAATGTTATGAATCCTTTCCTCATTTTCAGTGCAGTCAAAGATGGAATCAATTAGCTTTTGTGCTCTTCTGATCTTCCTATCAAGCATGACATTGTCACTCTTGATGTCTTCAATGCCTTGTTCAAAGTGCTCCTTGTTGAGGCAGATATAAGTAAATCTAGATGTTTTGATTTTATCTTCAAATTCATCCCTGAAGTCTTCATATTTTGTCTCAATATCTCCTCTTCTTTTACTAGAGTTCTCTTTGGATTCTTCATCTTCAAGCTGGGTTGTCTCAAGCAGTTTCTCAAGGTTTTGAGACTTCATGACTTTATCCACTACTAGGGACTCAAGGTCATTAATTTTGTTACGGTAGATATCGAAGAATCTACTTATTTTTCTTTCTATTTCCTTTTTGACGGCATGTGGGTCAATCTGCAACCATTTCCTTGCTAGATCTACAAACTCATCATGCTCCGTTCGAAGAGTACTGTGGATTCCTTTAGCAACTGTAGCAGTGAAGACCACTTTATCGTGCCTTTCATTGAAGACTCAATTCTCTCATAAGGTTTTACCAGTTTTACGCGCAAAAGCAACTATATTTTGACCATGTTTGGCGCAAATTTCTTTGCCTTCCCTTCTCTTCCTTTCTTCTTCAGTAATAATCCTAAGACGTTCTGCTGTCTTCCTTGACTTAGTGCCAGGAGGTGATATGATTGGGTCATGGGCTGCTTTACTTTGCCTTGCTCGAGATCTGGACTTGCTTCTTTTGTGCTCTTTCAGTAAATCTGACATTTGAAACTTGTAGAGAATTATTATTCAATAAGATTCTCAGATTGAGGGGTTTTGGGGTTTTGGGGTTTTGGGGTTTTGGGG